AATCTCACTGCAAACACACACACATGTACACACACACATACACACGCACAGGAGTGGAACAGCATGAACAATTTCATCTAAGAGCACAAGAGTGGCACTGGCCCCTTGTCCTGATTGAAGGTCTGTGCACAAAGTAGGGGCTTCTAATAGGGCCAGATGTCAGTCTATATCACAGGTTGGCTTTCCCTCTTTGCCAAGAAAAACAGTCATTTCTTTCACATCCAGACTTGCTGGGAAAAAAAGGAACATTGTCATCATCATCAACCATAAACATTTCTTGCAGGAAGACAGAAGATCTCAGCTATGGCAGATTCTCAGCTGGCGGCAGGGGAAACTCATAATTTAGTTGTGAAACCCCAGACAGATACATAAAAGAGGAATCAATCATTCCAGGTAGGTGTCTAATGCAGAGTACATGCCATAAATGCTACTGAGGTTGTGTGGAAACGCCTCAGCCCTGGGCAGTAGGTGTAATTTTCACAGAGGAGAAGTGAGTCTAAGAGGAACTAATTTGCATGTCAGTGGTAAAGCTCAGATTCAAACTGAGGTCCAATGGGCCCCACAGCGCTTTCCATTGAACCATACCCTCTCCCCCTGCATATACCAGCTTTGCCTCCTTCCTCCAAGGAGGCTAGGACTGGGAAAGTGAGGAGCATCAGAGCCTTTGTCTGACTTGGATCCAGACACACAACAGGAGGCGGGAACCTCCCTTAGTAATGATGCCATGATAGACCTGCGTCAGACTTCCCTGCGCTATTAGCAAGCCATTTACCTCCAGAGGAAGAGCAGGTTGTTGACTCAGTCATGTCCTGTATATACATCTTAAATCTCAGTTGCCTGAGGAAGCATTTCTGTCTGATGTACTACTTTCGCCTCATTTAGGGCCAGATGGCATAGTCTCCGGGACTTGGACAGAATAGCCTTCAATAAACGCCTGATTGCTAGTACTGACTCATGCTCGTGGAAGCAGACTCAATAGGTCCATGAAAAGAATACCTTGTAGTCCCTACCCGTCTATATTATGCAGCTTCAATTTGCTTGTCTTCAGAACATTCTACATCTGGTATTTTGGGGGTTGGTATTCTTTGATAGGAACAAATTAGATAGGTATCTTCATTGCATGCAGAATTCTATTTACCTGCACAGTGTTACACTTTCCATTGATTTATAGAAGTTCAGGCATGAGAACAGGTTTGAAATTATTATCATAATGTTTTGACTATGGATGATTAATAATCTGAAAAGAATGAGTTGTTATCTTGTTTACAGGTTTAAAATTAGTGAACAGTGTAATGGGATGGCTAAATAGCTCATGAATATTAAGCTGCATTAACAGATATAGAAAGTCCAGAACTAAGGACTTCACATCTGTGTTTTAGACAACATATATTAGGAAGGATGGCGAGAATGTAGAATCTAGGGCATAATGGTCAGGGCAGAGAAGGGTGGGACCCCACAGTGAGTGAGGAACAGCTGCAAGAATAGGCAAAAAACAATTCAGGAAGAAGGAGCATAATGTTTGTTTTCAGATATAGCACTTAAAGGGCAGAGAGACTAGACTCGTAGTGTGTGGCTCCAGCAACCGAACGGGTAGGTCAGTGGGTGAAAGAAAACGTTGATTCAGTATAAGGCAGAACTTTCTAAAACTGAATCTCTCCTACAACGGACTGGCCTGCAAGGAAGCAAGATTTCCATCTGATTATTTCCAAGAAGAAGTAGGCTCGCCAATTTATAGGGAGGGGTACTGAAGTGGAAGTTCATGCACCTGATGGAGAATTACCTCTAAAGTTGGTTATCATACTAATCAACCATTTTAATAGGCACATTATTTACATTATACTGTTCCAGGTTGAAAAAAAATCACTTGCCAAAAAGGCATCCTGTATTGCCTTGTTTACACAATTAGCAAAGGGCTGACTCCAGCCTTACCAAACCCCAATTCTTATCAATTCAAGTTTCAGAGAGTGATTAGGTGATTTGAATATTCATATTATTTAAATTATCACCACAGAGATTATAGGATTTTCTCTTTTAAGACGAAAAAGTGATGGTTTGTATGGACACATGTGAACAGACTAAGAAATAGAAGTTAATTTCATTATTGACATACTTTTTAAAAAATTTATTCTCAAAAAAGTCAGGGCCAGCCTAGTGCCGTAGTGGTTAAGTTCACATGCTCTGCTTCGGCAGCCTAGGAGTTTGCAGGTTCTGATCCTGGGCACAGACCTATGCACCGCTTATCAAGCCATGCTGTGGCAGGCATCCCACATACAAAGTAGAGGAAGACGGGCACAGAGGTTAGCCCAGGGCCAATCTTCCTCAGCAAAAAGAGGCAACAGATGTTAGCTCAGGGCTAATCTTCCTCACACACACACACAAAAAATTATTCTCAAAAAAGTAAACCAAGTCTCCATAGTTGTGCAATTTACCAGGGGAATGGCCAGAGAAGCTTAATCTTCAGGTTAACGGATTTAAAAAACATAACTCACGCCTTATTTTCTAAGCTAAACAATTTGCTGTGCCACATTCTCACTGCATCACTCAGATTTATCTTTACATTAACAATGCTTATCAGCAGACAGCCAAAAAGGCTCGCCAAGTTGGACCGCCTTCAAGATTAGTTTCCATGCTGGGGTGCTTCATGCACTCGGCAGAAGCAGGCTGCAACCGGGGCTCCATTTATTACATGATGCTATAAACATTATGTCCTGAGCTGACAAAATACTCCACATGACAATCCCGTAGGTTACTAAGCACCGTAAACATCTGTTAACACAGGCACCAGAGATAGCACAGAGAAGGCGTCTAGTATCCATTTTTAAGTGGTTTAGGGTATAGAGCCTGCTGTTTAAAGACTACTCATCAAAAACGCAGCCCCAAACTCTGAGTAGAACAAATATTTGCAACGCAAAGTTATGTTCAGTTTGAAAACAAAAAATGCACTCGTGTCGTGACTTTGTCATTACATTTATAGACTTTCATTTCACACCTTTGCCCAATAAGTGTTGGCTTTCCATGGCATTCCGGAGACCAAAACTATAATCTCACCGTGATATATTTACTACGAAAGAAAAGCTGAATGTTGACTCATCAACTTTCCTTAGACTAATGTGAAGCAAAAAGTTTATAAGCATGGAAGAAGGAGATGAGGGTTGGGACACGCTTAAGTTACAAATGATGTTTTCAAAGGGTCTCTGGGCTAAAACACATCCTTCCAGCTCCATCTAAAGTCCATCTGAAGCGAAACCATAAATATCCAGAGACCTGCTGCAATCTAATCTGGGAACACTGAGCTTTGCTTTTCTTAAAAGGAAACAGAACCCTCAATCACCAAAAAGAGCTAACCAACAACCCTGTCTACTAAATCATTTTATTTCGTTTCTATCCAGCATTTTAATTCCTGGAAATGTTTCCAAACTAGTTACCTCTAAGGTCTATACCTTGGCACCCCCAGAGAAAAGGACTTCTAGGGTGACCCAGGTGGAAACTAGCCTAGAACACCAGGTTACTCAGGGCACAGAGCTGTCACAACATCTGTGAGGAAAAGTGAGTGCCTTCCCAGGCACACCCCCCAGGGAGTCTAAAGGTAAACACCCCGGAGAACATCTAGTCTCTGGACTGTGGACAGGAGTACCCAGGAATCTCAGATCTGCAGCTCCAACTGCGGTCTAGATTTCCGGGGTTCTTTACACACACACACACACACACACACACACACACACAAACATATCTCCTAGAACCCCTGTCCTCCTATGCAGGTCTCCTGAGATCGCCAGAAACCTCCACTACCAGCCCTCAGCCCCTGGAAGGCAAAGGGTTTAGTATTTTAAAGTCCTTGGTACTTAAATACTATGCAGGAACTCCTGCGACTTCCCAACCCTCTGGCCTCCCGTTACCTTTCCCTGTCCCTTCCAAAGTCTCCTGTCGGCATAAACAGGCAGGCGGCACCTCTCTGGCCTTCTCCTCCCCCGCTACCCGCCCCACCACCGCACACCCTACTGGCTCGGGCGCCGACACGCCTCCCCAGGCGCACACACGCGCGCACACAGCGCGCACGTACACGCATTCAGCACACAGACCCCGCGCCAGGCCAGCAACTCCCGCAGCCTGGCCCCAACAGGCGTCCCCCCTTGGGTTACATATAAAGCACTTGCCCCAAAATAAACTTCCCCACGCACCCGCAAGTGGGTGACCCTGCCCGGCACCCTATGCGCGCCGCCAGCGCCCTCTCCGCAGACACGCGGCTGCCCCACTCACCCGCAGCTCTCAGGCCTCGGGCAGTTCTGTCAAAACTTTGAGCCTGGGTGATTTCATAACCACGAGTGTGTCCAGGGCTGGGGGAGCTGGGATCTCCACGATTTCCACCCACCCTAGCTCATGGGGACTGGTGGCGGTGACTCTACTGACTCCAGCTCCGCGGGTGCCAATGGGCGGCTTCAGCCCGCACAAACGCGCAATGGGCGGTGCGGTTTGGGGAGGAGCGCGCGGTGTCGACGCGCACAGCCAGACGACCTCCCTTCTCCTCCGGTCGCGCCGCCTGAGACATCTCCCCGCTCAGCAGCGGCAGCCTCAGCAGTTCTGCCCCAGCCCGGCTGACGGTGTCAAACAGCAACACTCGCAAAACTTTTCGACTTTAACAAAACCGTCTTCGGAGGGAGCCCCTCCAGGCACCACAAACATTGGTTGGAGCAGGCGCCAGCCTGGGATGGTTCGCCTGTCGCCCCCAACTCCCTGAAGCCCCCCACCAACTTCCAGACAGACACACACACACACGTCCACAGCGTGCATCGGGTTACAACAACCCACCGGCAGAAAACAACTTCTTCGCGAGGAGGAGAGGAGTACAGCCAACCCCCAAGTCACCCGGAAAAAAATTATCCGTGTAAATACATAAGACAGATCCCCACTTTCATAAACAACTGGCGTCCCAGGGTCCACTCCCAGGCCCCCTGGCACAAGGAGAAAATAAGAGCCCGACTCCCGGAGTCCCCCTCCAGTACCTCCGAGCCTCGCCGCCGGAGAGAGAGCGCGGGTTCGCATCCGCGCTGGGGCCGAGGGCGCGGGGGCCTCCCGGGTCCCCGCCGCCGCCTCGGCTCAGCAGCAGCCGCCGCCACCGCCGCTGCAGCAGCCGCCGCTGCCACCGCCGCCGCCGCCGCCGCTCCCTAGACCGCCTCCTCTTCCCATGGCTGCGCCCTGCTTGGCAGCTCGCGGGCTGTCAGGCTTGGGGAGGGGGAAGGGGGCGGGGTAAAACGGGAAGGGAGGATGGGAGGGGAGGGGTGGGAAACGGCGGCCGCGGTTCACCAGGGGTCACGCCGGGCCCGGCCTGCGGTCCCCGGGACCCGGGCTGCCGAAGCGACGGGAAGCGGGAGTTCAGGGCGCCCGGTTCGAGACCCGCGGCCGTGGCGCCGAGCGGCAACCTCCTGGCCACGCATTCCTAGCAGCTGGGATGAAGCGATCCCCGGCGAAGAGTTGGAGTTGGTGCGTGTCACTCTCATCTGGGCTGCGCGGCTCCTCCTAGAGGAAGATATTGGTAGTTGCCGGACGCTTCCTTCCTCTCCGCCCACCACTGTTCCCGAAAAGAAGGCAGGACCTAAAAGAGCCTAAGTGCAGTCAACAAATTCAAAGGAACGCTTACAGAAAAGTTAGCTATCTGCAGGAACGGGAAAAGAACGAGCTAGCCAGCTTGGAAAGCGTCAACCAAACATTGCCTCTCTCCACCTGCAACCCATTTCCAAACTCCTGCTCAGTGGGGCATGGGGGAGAGAGAGTTAAAAGTAGGAAGGACCTTATTTTAGAGGTTAGAAAATGGAAACAGAGATAAAGTAATTTACCAAGGGCACAAGACAGGTTAGAAGAGAGGTATGTCCAGAAGCCAGAGCACAGGGCTGCAGGGTGTCCAGACACAGGCCTCAGCCTGAGGACTGGCCCTGCCTGTGACCTAGGGAATGCGCTGGCGGTAGCTCATCTGTCAAATGCGGGCCTGCCCACCTCATTCCACTGAAGGGAAAAGAAAGCGAGAGGAGAGGTTGTCAAAAGGCTTCAGAAAGTTAACATCGTTGTGCGTAAGCTTGTCATTTTGTAAAGCATCAGACTCTCTCACATGCTTTTCTAAGCAGAAAGTACCAAAGTCCAGTTCTAGGTGGTCTGAGACCTGAGGGAGCAGCCAGTCATGCTATCCTTTTACTATTGACTTTATTACTGATAGCCAGTTGTAACGTCGTCTGTCTACCCAGCTTCGGCTTACTAAATGACTCTTTTTTTACAGGGCTCCACACACAACGCCAAGATTATACCCAGAAAGAAATGTTTAAACAACAACTTAAAGAAACCAAGCTTCTTAGCACTAGAATAAAAGATCCCCGGGGCTGGAGAGCAGTGCAGGAGGCCAAAACTGGGGAAGGAACACAAAACCAAAGACTTTGGGGCAACAGATGTCACATGAGACACCCCCGTTTTAAAAGGAATCAAAGAAGTGGAAAATTCTGTTCCTTAGAGTCCTTTCCGAGGCTCATCTGCGGCTCAACAACACAACTGTTTCAGGCAAAAACACCCAGAATGAAAGGAGGAGGATAAATTCTGGAAAGGGTGTGTGTCAATCACTGTCCCATCCTGGGGCAGGAGGCGGGTGGATGTTGATCTTGACTGGTCTTGTTCTATCCCACCCGAGTATAATGGGGCTTTCTTTCCCTAAGAGCCTCCTCGAGTCCCTGGATTTCTGGGGCTCCACGCTTTGCTAGAGCAGTAGGAGTGCTTACTAGGGTCTGGAGTTTTTGAAAGGGGAGTTGCCATAGAGAAAGATTAGGGCACAGGCAGGCAGAACTCCTGCTGGGTGGGCAGTATGTGCCAAGCCAGCTGAAAGGGCAGTGCTGGCAGCAGTGGTGACCAGGCCGTCCTCAAATGCTGACTCCACTCCTGTCTGAGATGATCTTCCAGGTTGGCTCTTCAGCCTCCGGCCTCACCAAATTCTCTCTTTATATCCCCTCTGTGCCTTCTCAACCTTTGCCCCTCCCCCGCCCACCAAGCCCAGACTTTGATTTAGTCTAGAAGGTACCAGATGGACTCACAAAATATTTTCTAAGTTCCGTTGTTTATGCCCTGAGATGATTTCGGAGCCATACTTAGAAGGAATGCCTTCTTTTCTTCTTTGGGTTCAGCTGTAGCCTTCATTCTGTGAGACAGGAGAGTAGACTACTCTGATTTGATAGAAAGGTCATCATTCACAGAAAGCACAGGAAAAGACACACTGCTTAATATAAAATACTATGGAACCAGATATAAACTTGCAACTTACATGAAGAGCAGTCTTTATTTCTAAGTCCTGTGAATGAATGTCCCTCCATCTCATATATAACCATGTTTAGGTCTACAGTCGTATGTGCCTCTTTATATTTTCCAGATTATGGGGGAAAATGTATCAGGTATCGAATTGACTAATTTGTTACAAGTTAAGGCATGCCAGAGTACATTTACCTTACTGGAGGTAAAACTGTACTTACTCCTGCCTTCACCTCTGCCTGGAATATCCTACTTGGCCATGGAAGGAAATACTCCTTAACCTTCAAGTTTCAGCTCAATGATTTACTTCTGCTCTAAAGCCCTTCCTGGCTCTTCCCAAAGCTATTCCAAAGGTAGAATTAATTAATTATCCCTGCATCTGCATCCTCATAGACCTTTATATCTACTTTTATTAAATGTTTCAGTTTTTATTTATATGTCTGCTTTCCCCATTAAGAATGAGACCCCTGAGGGAGACACTATATAGTCTTTATATTTGTAGCTGAAATTTCTAGGTTAATGCCTAGCAAATGGTAGAGTGCCCAATAAATGTTTAACCGAATTGAATGAAAATTTGTATCTCCTGAATTTATGTCAAACCTAGATCTCTGTATAGAGCTCCAGATTGCCACACTCCACATTCTCTCACACTCCACCTTCAAAATCTGTTCACTTCTTGACCCCTCCATGACTAGCACCTACCTGATCTGAACCACCATAATCTCTCACCTGGATTACTGCTGTAGTCTCCCAACTCCACCGGTCTCCCTGCATCAACACCCCACCACCACCACCATCACCAGCACCACCAACCCAGAGTCTGGTCTAAACTCACTTGCCAGAGGGAGTCTTTTCAAAACTAAGTCATATCATGGCATTCCTCTGCTCAAAACTCTCCAGTGGTTCTCTATTTAAATCAGAGTAAAACTCAGAATGATCCACGAGGCCCTACGTGAGCCTGTATTTCTGCCCTCTACCTTGTCTCCTGTCACTCTCCCCATCACTCAATCATCCATTCAGCTCCAGGCGCACTGGTCTCCTCGCTGTTTCTTAAGTAGGCCAGGCATACTCCTCACTTAAAGGCTTCACACTGGCTCTTCCCTCTGCATTAAATCTCTTCCTCCAACTAGCCTCCCTTACTTCCTTTAAGTCTTTGCTCAATATTACCTCGTCGATGAGTCCTATCTTGACAGACCTATTTTACCCTATTACAGGCCACCCTTCCCCCACCCCATTGAACATCTCCGCTACAGCTTGGCTGCAAATATAAACTACATGTTAAAGACAATAAAAACAATTATAACATGATTCAGATTATGCATATTGAAGTGCAGATATCTAGGTCAGATTGTATCTCCCCAAACCATATAATCCACAGTATAAATTCCTTAAGTCTACAGTTATCTGGGTTAGGGCATTCTTTGGTTGCTCTATTGTACTATGAAGTGCCAAAGCTTTTTCTCGGAACAAAACAAAGAGATCAAAACACCTGAAGTAGCATTTTGTAGCTGTTTCCTTTTCTAGCATTTGTAGTTTTAGAACATAGCATTGGCAGTCAGGAGGCTATGTGGGTCATCTGTGACTTTGCGTAAGCCAGTTATTTATCTCACAATGACTCAATTTCTTGGTCTATAGAATGAGGGAGTTGTTATCTGAGATCATTTCAGCTGTAAGACAAATTATTAGATTGATATTCGTGATATTTAATATTATGTGTCAACTTGGCTAGGTGATGGTGTCCAGATATTTGTTAAAATATTATTCTAGATATTTCTACAGAGGTATTTTTAAGATGAGATTAACATTTATATCAGTAGGGGCCAGCCCCATGGCTTAGTGGTTAAGTGCACGTGCTCCACTGCTGGCGGCCCAGGTTCGGATCCCGGGCGTGCACTGACGCACCGCTTCTCTGGCCATGCTGAGGCCACGTCCCACATACAGCAGCTAGAAGGATGTGCAACATGACATTCAACTATCTACTGGGGCTTTGGGGGGAAAAAAAGGAGGAGGATTGGCAATAGATGTTAGCTCAGAGCCGGTCTTCCTCATCAAAAAAAGGAGGATTAGCCCTCCTGATCAGAGATCAGCCCTGAGCTAGATCTTCTTCACAAAAAATAAATAAATAAAGCTTTAAAAAAAAAAAACATTTACATCAGTAGACTTTGAGTAACGCAGTCTACCCCCCGTAATGTGGGTGGGCCTCATCCAATCAGTTGAAGGCCTTAATAGAAAAAGACTGACCTCTCCAGAAGAAGAGGGAATTCTGCCAGCAGACTACCTTTGGACTTGAACTGCAGCATCAGTTCTTCCCCAAGTCTCCAGCCTGCCAGACTAGCCTGCAGATTTAGTTTTTGGACTTGCCAATCTCCACAGTTGCATATTTGATTCCTTAAAATAAATCTCTTTGATAGATAAATAGAGATATAGAGACACATATAGATATATAGAGATGTGTACACATCTTATTGGTCCTGTTTTTCTGGAGAACCCAGACTAATAAAATATTTATTGGTAAAATTAATAAGATTCTAACAATAAAACACAAACACTTACTTTAAAGGATTTTTTTAACTAACACTGAATTCCCATCCACCAGGTTCTTTCACTCAAATGTTGGAGAGCCTACACCATGACAGATTTGTTCTAGGAACTTAAGATGCATCAAGGAACAAAACTTATACAACACACCCACAAAGACCCTGTCTTCATGAGGCTTGCCTTCTAGTTGGGAGAGACGAGGAACAATAAACATAATAAATGAGTAAATCATTGAAGTCCTGATTAAAATAAACTATACTAGATAAGGGACTCAGGAATGCCAGGTAACAGATGTAAGAATGCTGGGAATTCCTGCCTTGCCCAGGGCTCTGCAGTGAAGTACGGAATTGAGTATGTCATGGTTGTGAACACATTGTAAGAGCTCCTTGACCAGGATAATCTCTCCACCCCAGTCCCGTCACCAGCCCACAACTGCCTTGGTTGAGAGGATGGGAAGGGAATCATGAAGGGAAGAAAACGATTCAAGAAACTATTTACCTTTTCTTTCCTCTATTGAAAGGCAACAGGGGAAAAACTATTTCATGATCTGGAAATTCTTAGCCAAGACCTTTGAGAAGGTCCCAGAGCCAGAATTAAAGCTTCAAATCACCATTTATTTTATGAACTCCAAAAAATAGGTATTTTAATTCGGAGCTTATGAAAACT